GAGCAGTGTATAATTTTATTTTATTTTCTTCTTTTTAACAGAGACCATACTTTTTACTTTTCCTCTCCAACTTTGTGACAAAGCACTGCTTTTGTATTTACACCAAGTATACACAGGAGTGTAAACAGTGTACACTCCTATGTCACAGGAGGGACACTTCAACTTGGAGTGTAAACCTGGCGTTTTTACTCTGGATTCTTGTTCTGATAAAACTAGGTGTTACTTTCTAAGTTTGTTCTAGATTTATATACTATACCTTCAGAAAGTCATCATAAAAAATTTGTTTCCACATTAAACCTTTGCCAACGTCCATAGGAGCGTTCCACTGAGAAATACTTCCTATGACACAGAGCTCAAAGAAGTTGATTTTACATAAAACTGTCCCTATAAGGTATTAGCAGTAGTTGTAGTATTCTAATCTTAAATATTATGTTTTCATTAGCTGTAAGAACAAAACCCATCATAATCAACAAAACATCAGTTTGTGCATAATTAATCTGTACAATGTTTTTCATTTAGTGAACTGAGCTATTGCTATACATCAACTTTTCTATTATATTCTAATTTGTAAAATACTTTATATGGAGCAATGAATCCACAGAAGCTTCTACAAACACAATTTTACAAAAACAACATTTTTAGTAAGCAAAGTTAGAAATTATTACAATATAGGTTCACACAGTTATTGCATCAAAGACAAGTTTTAGATTAGTCATAAATTAATTACTTGTACTCTTATTATTAAATAGTAAAGTTATTAGCACAGTCAGTCCTCTTAAGACTTTGACTCCAGTCAGTGAATTCTCAACTGTTGTTCACCAGTTCTGAAGGTAACCCCCCTGTTGACCTTTGACTCTGAGTCAGATTCTGCTGAGGATTTATCCTGTTAAAGTTTTCCTCTCCTCCATCACTAACCAATGTGGTCTGTGTTTTCTGACATCTTTCTACCAGAACTAGCATTAACTTCCTTAGAAGTTGTTATCACTGATAGATAAGAGCTGCGTTTTGGAGATACTCTGACTGAGGTGCCGATCCACTGTGAACTAGTCCTTGTCAAACTCATTCAAATCCTCACTCTTACCCTAACCCTATCCAGCTTCTAACAGAATAAAATGTTTTCCTAGTGGCTAACTTACCCTACCGTCTGCAGACACCTTGATGAAGAGATAAATACAATCAAAGTCACTGGTCATAGTCCTCTGAGCTCTCTGGAAAACTAGGCATTATTTATTAGGAACATATTGTCATTATGTGAGAAAGGTGGTGCCACAGCCCCAACACGATTTCAATTGACGCAGTTTGACTCCAGAAGAGGGGGCTGATGGGTGAATTTTACACTGAGAGGAAACCTTTTAGCTTTGAACACAGTAAAGACACAATGTGACAGGAAAATGGGCGATTGGGCTTCAAAATAAGAGTATTCCCATGAGGAAGGAGGAATGCCTCAGCTGGACTTTGGTGTGTCTGTGTTTGTGTGTTTGTGTGTTGTGTTTGTAGCTTACATTTAGAGAAAATGTATGCTATTATTATTAATGTGACAATGCAGGGCTTTCCCTTTCTTCTTTCTTTCTTTCTTTCTTTCTTTCTTTCTTTCTTTCTTTCTTTCTTTCTTTCTTTCTTTTTGTTTATTTCTTTATTGCTTTCATTTATTCATTCTCTCTTTCATTCTTGCCAGTGGAACTGGTAGTACTGTATCAATATTAAGGAATTATTTACCCCTATACTTAGGTGAAAATGTAGTTTTGTCTTATTTCAAGTGTACTAAGATATTCACGATATTCACAGTAGAATAGACAAAAATACTTGATAAGAATTTCTGTTTCTACAGAGTATACTTAAACATACACAGTATATATATATATATATATATATATATATATACATTTATTACCCTGTTTGATCATATAGAAAAATATATAATTTAACAGTGTAAAAAGTTTTTTTTTACTTGCTCAAGTATTCTAGAAAGAGTCTGAATAATTAGTGTATTTATTGCATACTGACTCTTTCCAAAGGCTTACTCAAAGAGTTCCCCCTCCTGCTTTATTAAACCATGTATTTATTTTGAAAGATCTTCCTGGAAGTTATTGTGGTGTAATTTGGCTCTCTTGATACCAGCACGAGCCCCGGGCTTCCAAATAAGGAATTTGGCTGTCGCCGCGCGGACACACGGACGGACAAGGACGCTCCAGAGCCGAGAGCTGGAGACGGCAGTTCCCGAGACGTGCGCGAGCTTCCCTTAGATCTGCGGCTCTGTCGCAGCCCTCACATTCACCTGGGAGAGCGTGCGGCGTGCGTGCGGAGAGGATTCCCATTTTCAAAGATCGCCTAACTTTTTCCAGACAAATGGGCTCTAAGGATTAAAAACAAAAACGAGCAAATAAAACAAGACACAGAAGAAGACGAACTGAAGTGAAATAAGGATATTTCTGTCCGAAGTGAAGAGTTTGATTTTGGAGCAGTGGGGAGTCAAACAGGGAGAATACAAGCTGAATGCGTTTTACGCACTGGGCGCGCATCAAATAGAGAGCCTGAACTCCTGACAGTTTCTCTGTCCTCTTCGTCCCCGAATCATCATACTTATTTAGCTCAGGGTGAAGCGAGATTTATCAGAATAAAAACGCGTTTGATGGACTTATCGCAGGACTTAACCCTTCTGGAATTGTTGAACACGCCGCGAACGCACCTACCGTTGACCACTACCATGCTTCGGACGGAGTGATAATTTACTCGAGGTAAATTCTTTATTTTATTATTCGTATTATTTCATCCAGTTCTGTTACCGATGTATTAGGACCTGGTCCGGTCTCAAAGTTTCCTGTGGCAACATTTTGGGACGCGGTGCCCTTGTTATTTTGGGAAACTCATATCTGGCTAAAGGGCAGAAAATATCACAAAGAGGTCAAGTATTAAAATATGTGAGCTGTGGTTTATTCAACAACCTGGTGATCCTGGAGCCAGGCCAGGAGACATCCGAGTGATTCCCAAAGCTCACACGCCCAATCGCTTTGAGGCTCAGGGCGGCTCAGGGCTTCGTCTGTCCGCGGGGACGCAGCGCGGCTCGGCTCTCCGGGGATGCGGTGTCGCCCGAACCCAACCCTGCTCAAAACCAAGACAGCTAAACCATTCTCTGTTTTTCTGCTGAAGGTAAATAAGAGCAACAGTGTCCTTCAGTAAAACAGAGAAGAAGTGAGCTCAACTATATGAACTATCGCTGTGCACCGTATAAATGGCTGTCTTACACGTTATTTTCACATTCACTTAAATCGTTCATATTTTTCTTAAGAATGTGAATAATTTAAAATAAAATGCTGGACTATAACCAGCTTTTCTCATGCATATTCAACCAACATATAATCGATCGTTTACCGACGCAGTTTGGGTTATTCTGAAAATAATAGCGGCGTGGGTCCAGAGGAAGATCAGTGCATCGCTCCTGGATTCCTTATTTATTTATTTATTTATTTACTTACTTACTTACTTACTTACTTACTTACTTACTTACTTACTTACTTACTTACACTTTAATTTCCTAACATGTTTTCATTTATTTGTATAAACAAACAAAGACGTAAATCAGACGAGCTGCGGGTCAACTACTCAGATTTCTCCATCTGCAGGTTCCAGGTGGCTTGGATCCACTTTCAAACATCCTGGAAACAGGATCTGGATCTGCAGGAACACAGCAGAAATGTGCTGAAGTCATGTCTTGGTGATATTTGATGAGCAGACGCAGAAATCATGCGGCTGGTGATGCTTATGGGGGAAACCCGGGTCTTTGCAGTGGAGGAGACGGATTAAGAGGCTGTGGCGCACCGCCTGTCTCCAGCTGATGGCCCTGCCTCTCAGGAGACCTCATCGCCTCTAAATGAGTTGTCATTCACATTCACGGTCTTCTTCTGCTTCGGTGAGCCTCCCTGGAGTCTCCTGGAGCTGGAGTAGGACTTCTTAGCCTGCCCAAGCTGTGGCACTCAGAGACAGCAAAGGGGGCAAGTTTGGAAATATTGCAGATATTGGAATTCATATCAGTCTAATAAGAGCTGATAATTCCTCTTCATTGGATATTGGAAAACAAAGTCAATATTTTATCTCCTAACCTTTTTAAATATGGCTAGCTCAGACTGTTGGGGGCGCTATAGAAAACCCATTCTTTCATCTGCTCATTTAAAGCTCCAGCTCCAGTGCGTTGCAGTCTGAGGTGGTGACTGTTGAATAAATAAAGGCTGTATGGCCTCAGAGCTAAGATTTTTGACCAATCGGCCTTCAGTTGGCTCTAACGTGAGAATACAATTTTAAAATACAGAATCAGAAACTGGGCTTAGTTTTTAAGGTGCATGCAAATGTTTTTTGACTTTCTGTTTTGACATTGCATAAACGTGTCGCAACACCTACTGCTGAAGACGGATTAATGGAGTTCTGATTTGGAATTCATTAAAACATCCAGTTGCAACCGGTTATTCATAGAAAATGAATAACTAAATTAGCCTCATATTGGAAGAAATTGTGCCAAGGGCTTTCTTGGTGAATTTTATTATTATTATCCATCCATTTTCTTTACACCCTTGTCCCTCAGTGGGGTCGGGAGGGTTGCTGGTGCCTATCTCCAGCTATCGTTCCGGGTGAGAGGCGGGGTACACCCTGGACAGGTCGCCAGTCTGTCGCAGGGCAACACAGAGACAAACAACCATGCATACTCACACCTAGGGGCAATTTGGAGAGGCCAATTAACCTGATAGTCATGCTTTTTGGACTGTGGGAGGAAACCGGAGTACCCGGAGAAAGCCCACGCATGCACAGGGAGAACATGCAAACTCCATGCAGAAAGACCGGCGCCGGGAATCGAACCCAGAACCTTCTTGCTGCAAGGCAACAGCTCTACCAGCTGCACCACTGTGCAGCCATTATTATTATTATTATTATTATTATTATTATTATTATTATTATATAAGCCATCTAGCCACTGATACTTGATAGTAAGACAGCAACAAACCTCCAGCCAAACAGTTTCCACTTCACATTCCTGAAGAACAGAGAACACAGTTTAATGGAAGATGGATGAATCCTTTTCTCATCTGGAATATTTATTTTCCTTGGCAGTTCTGAAGCACTCACTAAATGACATGTTGTCAAACAGGCAGCTATAGAAATACATAATTTGTTTATTGTGACTGCATGATGTTATCTTTTAAGCAAATAAATGGGGATTTTTTTAAAGACTAGATCATTTCTTTATTCCCTGTCTGCTCTATGCTCCATGCAGGTTGGAAAAACTGTTTTTCCTGGAATGTCAATGAAAGAGATTTAAAAAGGAGGAATGGTTAGACTGAAGGAGTTCTGGTTTGAAACCTCAGCCTAGTGACGATCCAGATGACACACCATGATCCAGTGATTGACGCAATATTAAGCATAAAAGTGTTATGTGGAACTTTTTGTCACAGCGCCATTATGTCCACATCAGGCCGATGACAAGGCTCTGAGGAGAGCCCGATATGCAGGACTTGTCAGATGTTTTAAAGTCACAAGCATTTCTGGGACACAGCCAGGTTTAGGGTCTGACAAGCATCACCTCGGCTTCCGTCGGTACAGGTACTGCATGTTAGCAGTCAACTGTTTTATCTCCAGAAAGAGAAGAGATAAGCGAAGGGAAGTCAACAGTGGAGCCCTGACAGGCACTGCTGGCTCCGAGGCGCAGGGAAGAGACAAGCCAACAACGCAACACTGGCCTTTTCAGAGGCATTCATGCATGTTTTTTTTAACCTAGATGTCCTCTTTTGTTTCTGCATCCACAGCCTCCTGCAGCTTCGGAAAATACCCGTACTGTCGGCTCACTCGCCCTCCTTCTGTCTTCCCATCCTCTGATCACTTCCTTATCAAACAAGGCCACAGTGTCCAAGGCTGCGAGCCGTCAAAGACACTCATATGTGAATTTGTAACATCAGAGGGACCAGTATGAGACAGTGAAGGGAAACAGGGGGCGTCATTAAAAAGGAGGGAGATGAATGAATGGATGGGCGACAAGGAGACAGTCAGTGAGACGATCAAAGATGGATTAAAGGAGGGACAGAGAGAGAGCATACAGGATTCAGAAGATGTGCATCTAGGAGGCCCTTGAACTCTAAACACTGCCTTACCCTTCATTCTTTGGAGTAAATGGCCAGCAATCAGTCTTACCAGACAGGTTATTCGTACACTCCCAAACACAGGGACATTAAAATGAAAACCTACTGTGATTCTGTGTCCCACTGGCCTGTCAGCAGTAATGTAGGAAATGATTTTTCTTTTTTTGCCTGAAGGGACCTGGAGGTCCACCAGATCCAGTAAAACTATTTGTTTCCCTAATTAGGGACAAAATGAGAGGCTTGGGAGGGTACTTAATGAGGCTTGGCCGTGTGGGGACAGAATCAGGAACTCAGTTATTCTGCTGTTGGAAAGTTTTACCACAACATTTAACAAGTACTGACTAAAGTGGTTTCACATGTCAAACGTACTGAATGTCATTAGACGGGACTGAACATGTAAGTTCATTTAACAGGAAATTTAGCGTAATTCCCAACCTGGCTGTACTGGTGCTGCAGCAGGTGCTAACGTCACAAACTATCATGAGGTTCGATTGGGTACTTGGTCGTCATGGAAAAAACCCCACTAAGTTGCAAGAAAAATATGAATGATAAAAACTGAAGTTCCACAATTATTCTCTCCATAATTCTCTCATGAATGACGGCTCATTCATGAGTGGAAGTTGTGACCGTTGTCTTGTGAGAGCCAGCAGTGTCTGATCACTTTATCAGTCCTGTTGCTAAGGTAGAAAAGGAGAGCTCTGTCTCAGCTATTTTATCTGGAAACAACAGCGATCAGAGCATCAGAGCAGGAACAAAGAAGACCGCCTGCTTGACAGAGGTGTTTATAAGCATAAAAATGCAAATGTTGTGTAGACAAAACAATGTAGAACATGACCCTTTGGAACAGATAGTGTTTTATTCTCTGCTCTAGCATCAAGGCTGGATTGATTTCCTTTAGGTTAAATTGTAATACCTATTACTTTGCATTGTTCTTCTTAAACAAAAATGACTTAATTGCTTTTTCATAAACCAAACACTGTTAGAGCTTAGATCACAAACTTCTTAATTTGCCAAGGCCACACTTCAGATATACGTGTGATGGTTTACAACTATGTTAAGTAACTGTGGAGGGAAAATACCAGCTGTGTTACATCAGGTATACATTTATTAATCAATATTTAGTGTAAGGGCATTAGGTTATTATATTTGACTGTTGACTTCACTGAACAATTCAATTCAAATAGACTTTATATGAAAGGGAAATTAAATGTCATAATTCATATTATTCAAGTCTCTTCAAAGAGTCATTGCAGATGGTGATACTGTGGGCAGGAAGGATCTTCTGCAGCAGTTTGTCTTGCAATGAATCAGAAGAAGCCTCTGACTGAAGTCGCTGTTGCTGTCTGATAGTACCATGACTGTCATGACAGCTGAACATCCAGGCAGCAGATATGATATTCTATAGTAACATTTCCTGATGACACCATCAAAAGCTCTGCTAAACCAGCTCACTTGCTTTCGCTGCTCCTCTTTACATCTCTGTCTGGCCGTACAGTTAGGAAGCAGAGAGATATTGGAGATGAATATGATCCTTTCCGTTTAAGATCAAGAGAAGAGATGGTTTAAACTTCCCTTGATCCCACTCTGCATCCATGATTCCTTATCATCTCTTCAGG